GCCCACATCACCAAATCACCTTCCCGCTTCGCATTCATCCAACTCCCAAAACTTTGAGATTCTTTACTCTCAACCAAATGGTTGCAGAGTTGCACCAAAACACCACAAAATTAATGCAGAAGCAAAATTCTCTAGACTATAGAATTAAAAAAAAAAAAATAAATCTGACAGGCACACAGAGCTCCTGGCAGTCAGTATTTAAGGTCAGTCCTTTTGTTTCTCACACATGGACAAATGAGATCATGTCCTGTTTCCTGCCCCTCCAGAAGCAGTTTCTAGTCTGAGCAGTGCTCTTGAAGATGAGACACCAAGCAGGCCAGGTGCCTCACTGCACAAGGAATAAAAACTATTAAAAATCACAGCCTCGTTCCTTCTGTTGGAAATATTGCTGGAATATACCTATTTAACCCCAATAATCAGGGCAACAAGGAGAAAAATACTTGAAAATACTGACTTCAGGACATTCCAGCAAATAATATATATACAGAACCCACGTGAAACACAAAAAGGAAGAAAAACCACGATGCTCCATTCGGGGCTCAGCACCACGTTCTGGTGCACGTCCCCTTAATCAGGAAGAGGGCCCAAACTATTACCTTTTAGCCTGAAAATCATCTTTTAACCTAAAAATCTTCAATCCCTGCATCCCTGGATGATGCCCACTGCAGAGCAGCTGCCTGAATTTCAGCCGTGTCATCTCAGCACGCTCCCCCATCCTCTGAGCGCTCTCCATGAGCGCACCCCGACCCCGGGAGCACAAACAATGCCTTCCTTCACTCACCCCGCACCAAACCCCCCCCAGAGCCGCCTTTTACCGTAGGCGAGGAGCCAGAGAGGCCGGGATGCGGATCCCAAGCTGGAAAAGCGAGGCGCTCTGCCTCCACAGCCGCAGGACAGGGCTGCGCTCCCCCCGCGCTCCTGCAGAGGAATCACAGCGCGCAGCGAGCGCCAACGCGCGCAGGGCTCGGCGCCTTCCTGGGAACCCCGGAGAGAGAAAGGGAGGGAGAGAAGAGGAGGAGAAGGGAGGAAGGAGCAGATCGAGCGCTGTTGAAAAAAGGAGAAAAGCGCAGGGCAAAAAGGAGAGCGGGAGAAGGAAGCAGCAGCCGCGCAGGAGCGCTCCCGGCACGGCCGCCTCTCCCGCCGGCCCCGGGCGCGGCCCGGGCTGAACCCAGCGGGGCGCGGCCGGCCCCGAGCGCCAATGCGGGGTGGCCCGGCGAACCCCGGCCCGGCCGCCCGCCCCGCTCCGCCCGGCGGCGGTGCCGGCCCGGGGCGCCCCTCACCCTCCGGCCGCGGGCCCGCCCGGACGGAAGCCGCCCCCGCCCGGGGCCATGCGGCGCAGGCCGCCCGCCCGCTCCTGCCGGCGCCGCGCCGCCACGCGAGCCCGCGCTCCGCCGCGGGGAAGCAGAGGAGCCCCGCCGCTTACCGGGCGCGCTGGGCGGCGCTCGGCTGCCCGCGGGTCCCGGTGCCGGCGGGGCCGCTGCTTCTCCCGGCGCCGCCGCCTCGGCCGCTCGCACACAGGGGCCAAGATGGCGGGCGGCCAAGCCGGGCGCCAACGACGTCTGACGTCACCGCGCACAGCGCGAGCCGCCGGGACCGCCCCCGCGTCGCCGGTCACGTGACGGCACCGTGCCGCAGTCGCGCGGGCTCCCGGGGACAGGAGCGCCCCCTGGCGGCGCGGGCTGAGGGCGGGGCCGAGCGGAACAGGGCCCGGCCCGGTTCTATCCCGGTTCTATCCCGGTTCTATCTCAATCCTTTCCTGTTTCTATCCCGGTCCTATCCCGGTTCTATCTCAATCCTGTCCTGTTTCTATTCCGGTCCTGTCCCGATTCTATCTCAATCCTGTCCTGTTTCTATCCCGATCCTGTCCCATTCTATCCTGGTCCTGTCCCAGTTCCTGTCTCTGTTCCCATCCCGGCCCCATCCCGGTCCTGTCCCGGTTCTATTTCGGTTCTGTCTCAATCCCATCCTGTTTCTATCCCGGTCCTGTCCCGGTCCTGTCCCGGTTCTATCTCAATCCTGTCCTGTTTCTATCCCGGTCCTGTCCCGGTCCTGTCCCGGTTGTATCTCAATCCTGTCCCGTTCTATCCCGGTCCTGTCCCGGTTGTATCTCAGTCCTGTCCTGTTTCCATCCCAGTCCTGTCCCGGTTCTATCCCAGTTCTATCTCAATCCTGTCATGTTCTATCCCGGTCCTGTCCCGGTTCTGTCACGGTTCTATCTCAATCCTGTCCCGTTCTATCCTGGTCCTATCCTGGTTCCCATCTCTGTTCCCATCCCGGCCCCATCCCGGTCCTGTCCCGGTTCTGTCTCAGTCCTATCCCAGTTCTATCTCGGCTCCATCCTGGTTTTATCCTGGTTCTATCACAGCCCAATCCCGGTTGTATCCCAGTCCTGTCCCGGTTCTATCCCATTCTATTCTGGTTCTATCCCGGTCCTGTCCCGGCTCTGTCCTGGTTCCCATCTTGGTCCTATCCCGGTCCTGTCCCGGTCTTGTCCCAACCCCATCCTGGCCCCATCCTGGTCCTATCCCGGTTCTATCCCAGTCCTGTCCCGGTTCTATCCCAGCCCCATCCCAGCCCTATCCTGGTCCTATTCTGGCCTCATCCTGGTTTCCATCTCGGCCCTATCCTGGTCCCATCCCTGCTCCCATCCCAGCCCCATCCCAGTTCCCATCCCAGTACTATATTTGTTCCCATCTGCTCCCATCCCAATCCCATCCTGGTCCCATGCTGGTTCCCATCTTGGCCCTATCCCGGCCCCATTCCAGTCCTGTCCTGGTTCCCATCCCGTTCCCATCCCATCCCCTTCCCGATCCCCATCCTGGCCCTTTCCCTGTTCCCATCCCTGTTCCCATCCTGGTTCCTATTCCGGCCCCATCCCTGTTCCCATCCTGGTTCCTATTCCGGCCCCATCCCTGTTCCCATCCTGACTCCATGCCAGTTCCCATCTTGGCCCTATCCCAGCCCTTTCCCAGTCCCATCCCTCTTTCCATCCCTGTTCTCATCCCAGTCCTATCCCTGCTCCCATCCCAGCTCCACCTTGGTTCCCATCCTGGTCCCCATCCCAGGAATTCAGGGTTCCCTATAATCCTAAGGCTGCTGGAGCAATATCAGGGATGCCTGTTGCTGTATGTATAATTAATTATTGTAAATCAATATATGAACATATAGAACACTTCTCATATACCTTATTTGTTGATATTTCTATCTATACAATGGATAGATTATACATCTACAAGGGCAAGAGTCTCCCCTCTGCCACAACTTGGGATCCACCTCACACCCCCTGATAATGAACCATCAATAAATCCATCAGCAAAGAGCAGATCTGTGAGGTTTATTTGTGGCTCCCTCCTTCATGTCCCAAAAGTTACCAGACACAGAATAGCTCTCTTCAGACAGTTCATGTTTCATGAAATCTCAAGGTGGTGTGGGTCCTGCCCAAATTTCAGGGAGCAGGAAATTTCATTTCTCCAAAGGCTGGCCTCATGCTCAGAATGGTTCAGGTGAGCTCTCTGTGTCACCGTTGGTGCAATATCAGAAGGAACATTGTCACTACAGAGTGTGACACAGTGCAGAGCACCAAGACTCCATCAGAATGGTGCATAAGAGAGATTTATTACAGCAACACGTTGCCTTTATAGTTTTTCAAGATAATTACGTTTACATTCACTGCCCATTGGTCATAAGGAAGAAACAAAGTTCTCAGTAGGTGAGCAAGGAGCCAGGTCACTCTGTGAGCCAGCTCGAGTCCGTATCTTTGAACTTTCCCTCTTCCATCAGGTCGTCATGGGGACAGCCTTGATGTCTTCCTCGAGACAGATACGGGGCTTTCCTTATGTTCAGGAAGCCTTTGCTGGCTCACAAGAACAGCACAAAATGCCTTTCCTATAGAACATCAGCAGGAGGTGGCTGGACACATGTCACCCTGATTTTTTAAGATTTTCTAAGCCTTCTGATGTTGACATTCTTGTAACAAACTTTCTCACACACTTTCTGTAAATAACTTTTTGTTTTGCATTCTTTTATGGAGGAGGAGAAATTTGATGGACTGTTGGTTTGCCCAGTGTCGTTGGAGAGGTGGCACTGTCATCCTCCAACCCACTGTCACTTTTAGAAAACTATAAATGTTAAGGTCAGAAAATAAACTTTCCTTTTCTTCACCTTGAGAGCAGCAGTGTGCGCTTGTGTTGTTTCATGTCCTATAGTGACAGACACAGACAGCCCCAGGGTCCTGCTGGTGCCAGCTCCATCCCTCTGGCAGCACCTGGCTGTTGCAAGGCAAGATGTTTTCCATTACCATCTGTATGGCAGATTACCTTTGTCAAGTGGGCAGTTTCCTTTATCTCTCTCTCTGTGTGATCACATTCACACCTTCCCTTGGGAGGGGACATCTACTGATAACAGCTATTGAATGTCACTGTATGGCTGATAAGAACTATAACATCCCATTGGGAGATGTGAGCCCAGAGGGAGGAGCCAAGCATTGCTACCCAGATATAATCCAGAGGTTTTTGAGACACCAGCACAGCTTCTCCACTGGATTCCCCAGAAGAACAGCAGCTGTCTCTCCTTCCCCTGGATCTTCAGAGGAAGAATACATCCTTCTCTACAGATCCCCCTTGCTCCAGCAGAACCACCCCTGACACTGCAGGAGGGCTGCAGCCACAATTCCAATGGGACTGCCACCAACACCCTGACCCACAGGGTGTCAGGCTGGGTTCTGACTCTGTCAGTGTTGTTCTAGTGTACTGCATTGTTTATTTTATCCTTTATTTTTTCTTCCCTATTAAAGAACTGTTATTTCCTGCTCCCATATTTTTTACCTGAGAGCCCCTTAATTTAAAATTTATAGCAATTCAGAGGGGTAGGGAGGGTTTACGTTCTCCATTTCAGGGGAGGCTCCTGCCTTCCTTACCAGACTCCTGGCTTTCCAAACCAAGACACTGGCAAGCTTTGCACCGTGCCTACATCACCTGGCATTGCATCTCTCCATGTTCCTCCTACAGCCGGGGGCTCCAGCCTGCCTGGGGGTGTTTGGAGCAGAGCCAAGCTGCAGTGAGAGCTGCTGGCAGAACCAGGAGGCACATCCAGCTCCATCCCCAGGAGCTGCTGGAGCTGTCACGCAGCACTCGCGTCCTCAGGGGCCGCAGAGAGCGCTGCCACTGGGTGAGGACGGCAGCTCTGGCCCCGCTCCAGCTGCCCCTGCCCTGCAGCCGGTACTGGTAGGGGGAGCAGGGCCCAAAGAAGATGGCCAGGCCCAGCTTGGGATCTGTCAGCAGCAGCCGCAGCACGCTGGGTTTGACACCGGCGCACGCAGCGATTTTGTCCACGTAGCTGATGAAACTCATCTTCAGGTTCTCCCTCTCGGACGGGTTCCTTTGATGGGACATGAGAAATAAAAGTCAGGTGGCATCATCCTGTCTCAGTTCTCAGCTCCATGGGCAGCAAAGGCCTCGGACTCAGACACCAGGTGAGCTCCAGGCTCTGGGCAGAGCCCTCTGAGCCCCAAACAAAGCCAAAAACACTGAAGGAGCCTCTGTGGGGTTGGTGCCAGCAGTTCCCTAGGGCAGGGGATAAGCAGAAGCTTGTTTTGTCTCTGCAGCATAGTTGTGGCTTCAAAATCAGCTCTAACTCAACAGTAGCATCATTGTAATGCCACAAGCAGCCTGCTGTGTCCTTCCCTGAGGTTCAGGGGTGTGGATATGGCTGATTTCAAGAAGTAGAGATATAGACTTTCAGAGATAAGAATGCCAAGGGGAAATCTGGGAAATGCAGAAAGTTTCCCATGCTGGGAGGGACCTCCAAGATTTCTCTGGTTGAAACTTTATCTCCCTCACAGAAAGAAGGGCGTGCTGATCTGCTTGAGGAAAGTCTGGGACAGCCTCAAGTTTGTTCCCTGTGCATCTCAGGCTTCCATATTTCTGTGTAACAGAAATTTCCATATTTCTGTGTAACAGCACTGTGGTGCAGTCATTGGGCTCCTGCTCATAACCCCTGTGGCTCTGTTTTGTCCCAGCTTTTTCCCAGTGTCCCCATGAGCCAGCCCTGCCCTGCTGGCAAACCCAACCCTGACGTTTCCTCCTTGCCCCCTCATCATCCATCCCACATCCCTGTGGACACATCTCCACCTCCTGTAAAATCAATCCCAGTGCCAAGGAGGCAGGCTTCCAGCTCCCACACACACAGCAGCCTGGTGGGACACTCACCTTGACCTGCCAAAAAGTGACACAAACTGTCCCCCACCCACACTTCCCGGCTCCAGGGGGGTTCTGGATGGAATCTGGAACCCAGCTCTCCCCAGGGCCTGGATTTGGGAGGGAGAAGCCACGAGATGGCACCCTCAGTCTGGAGGAAACCAAACCTTCATCTGGATGTTCTGGGAACAAGGATGGCTGCGAGGCCTGGCAGGGGGGGATCTCCAGAGAACGGGAGAGAAAGGGAGGGAGCAAAGGAGATGGGAAGGGAGGGAAGGGGAATTGGTGTCTTGTTCCATAAAGGAGCCACGGGAGCATTTTCCCAGCCCACTGTGGGTGGTGAGGTAATAAATGCAGAGTTGGGTGGGCTGAGCAGGTCCCTGCCATGTCAGCCATCGAGTCTCCCCCTTCCCTGAGCTTGTCCTGGCACACAGAACCCGTCTCATCCCGACTGCAGGAGCATCATACACCTTTTGACTGCTGGCTTCCTCTTCAAAACCTCAGCCATCATCCTGCTGGGGGGAGGCAGCTTGTTCCAGCCTGAGAACAGAAAAACCAGCAACTGCCCATGCAATCAAAATAAATAAGAATCTTGGGATTTTAACTCTTGGTCTTTTCTATTTTGTATCAGGAGGAGATACCACGGATGCAAAGAAAAATGTTTTCCAAATGCCTCAATTTAGTTTCAACCTGTACTTTATATGAGCCAATTTGTTAAGTCTAGAAGGGGTCTCATTAACTGATTTGAAGCTGGGTTGGAGCTTTATAGTATCTTTTCACTTTCTGAAAGCTTGAAGTCTCAATTATGTCAGAGTTTTTGATTCTAGCAGGGGTAAACTAGACAATATTCATAATTATATAATAGCTCCAGCAGCGCCTTAAGAGAACGTGTTCAGCTCCTTCCCAAGATCTCGGCACCTTTCCTGAGGTGTGGGATGCAGCTGGTGGACAGAGGTTACACATGGAGCTGAAATAAGCCCTAAGGTGTGTGAGCAGCAGCTTAGGCTGCCCCAAACCTCCCAGCCAGAAGATCTCCCCCATGTCCTACCTGCAAAGACCCCTGTGACCCAGCGAGCCTGCATCTCTGAGCCCACCATGATGGAGCCTGTCAGCTGGATCAGGCCAATGATGGCCAGTGTGGGCTGCTCCAGCTGGGGAGGGAAGATGCAGTTGTAGAGGGAACGGTTGTCGTGGATGGAGCCACGAACAGACTCCTCCAGGAAGGGGAAGGAGAAGTTGTAGCCCGTGGCAAAGAGCACCACGTCAATGTTTTCTTCGGTTGTGCCGTCTTCAAAAACAGCAGAGCTTTCAGTGAACTCCTTCACGTTGGGCTTCAACACCACAGCCCCAGAGAGGAGGCAGAAGGGCAGCTCTTCATTGATAATTATCTTAAATTTGGAGCTTGCAGCAGAGAAAAGAGCGGTGTTAATATCTGGGAGGGACCTAAAATTACTTTTTTTATGGTCAGAATTCCCCTCTGATGGTTTGCTATTTCAAAAATGTCCCCCAAAACTGAGAATTAAGCATTTCATATTATAAAGACCCCCTGAGCACCCAACAAAACAACCAGAAAAATCCACCTTTTGCTGGAGGCCAAGCCATAGTTTGTGTGGTTGAACCATGAATTGAACTTCCGAAACTTGATCCTCCTTGTGAGGGCTGATGGGAGAAGCCAGTCCAGGAGGGAGTTGAAGCGGGTGGTGCTGACCATGTCCACGGGGAAGCCCTGGTCTGAGACCCGGCTGACGACCCACGTGTGGCTCCTGGTGCTGAGGAACACCTGGGGGAAGAGCAGGTCTCAGCCTCCTGCCCAGGCATCTCCTTGGTTTTGCCCTGAGTGGCAAATCCCATCTCCTGCACTTGAGCTAGCACAAGGGGAGGAGATGACATCCAGATGAACAAAACAGCTTTGATAAAGTTCCCACAACTGCTCAATTGCCACTCCTCAGGCAGCCCAAACTCTCCAGGAGTTGTAAAGCTTCTTCAACTGCCCTCAGTGAGAAGTGGAATTTATAGAGGAACCTGGGGGCAGAGCTCCCTGAGGACCTCGAGCTGATGCCTCAGGTTTGAGCTTTTATATTTTTCAGGTTCTGTGCTGCTTTAGTGTGTGGGTCTGAGCTTTATATGAGGGGATGGTGAACTCTCTGCACAGAGCAGGGAGACGAAACAATTCCTTCTCTAGCTGGGGACCAAGGACAAATGATCCAAATCTCAGGCCCAAGAGCACAAACACCGTGGGCTGGAGAGAGAAAAACAAGCAGGATGGGACTGCATGGGCTGGAGCTGGAATTGGACAATTATCGCCAATACACAAATGGAGCAGAACTTATAAAGGTGAGAGACCCCATGACCGGTCGTGCATTTTTGTGGCCATTCTGGGTTGTGCTGCCAAAGGTAGATCCATTGAGGCCTCTTAATAAACCCCTATTTTATTCTTTAACTCTGTCCAGCCTCTGTTCTGGGTCAGCCCTCATAAGGCATCAGAACCACTGGCTCTCAGAGGCCCTGTTTGGAGCAGCATGGAGCTGTACCTTGGTGGAGGCCCTGTCTGGAGCACCATAGAGCTGCACCTTGGCAGAGGCCCTGTCTGGAGCACCATGGAGCAGCAGAGGCCCTGTCTGGGGCACCATGGAGCTGTACCTTGGTGGAGGCCCTGTCTGGAGCACCATGGAGCTGTACCTTGGCAGGGGCTCTGTCTGGGGCGCCATGGAGAAGCAGAGGCCCTGTCTGGGGCACCATGGAGCTGTACCTTGGGGGAGGCTCTGTCTGGAGCGCCATGGAGCATCAGAGGGCCTTTCTGGGGCACCATGGAGCTGTACCTTGGCAGAGCCCCTGTCTGGGGCACCATGGAGCTGCACCTTGGCAGAGGCTCTGTCTGGGGCGCCATGGAGCAGCAGAGGGCCTTTCTGGGGCACCATGGAGCTGTACCTTGGGGAAGGCTCTGTCTGGAGCACCATGGAGTAGCAGAGGCCCTGTCTGGAGCACCATGGAGCTGCACCTTGGCAGAGGCCCTGTCTGGGGCACCATGGAGCTGCACCTTGGGGGACACCCTGTCTGGAGCAGCATGGAAATGTACCTTGGCAGCCACTCGGCTCAGCTCCACAGAGAGGTCCCCGCCGGTGTTGCCGATGCCAAGCACCAGGACACGCTTCCCTCGGAAAGCCTGCACGTCCCTGTACTCCCAGCTGTGCAGATACTGGCCTTTAAAGCAACTTTCAATGCCTAGGCAGAGAGCAGGGAGCATTTCCTATTGCCAGATACATTTACTCACCCCGGCCTCATGCCCAGATCCTCTGCAGCCCCAACTCTTCTTGCTCCTACCTCCCCTGGCAGCTGAGAAGCCCATGGAAATCCCCTGTACCTCCTCAGCTCGGTCTTTCTTTGCAAATCCTAAGGGAAAAGCCTGGCTGCACCTTTACAAGGTGTTTTTCCCATTCCCTGCAATGCCCCCCACCATTTCCATGGGGTCAAGGTCCTGTCTACTCCAGCGTGGGGGCTTCATGGAGCAGGCAGGCTCACAGAGGAAAATCCAACCAGGGACTGGGGGAACCAAATCCAACCATGGGTGCTGGGGGAACCCCACTGCTGGGACAGGCCTTACCTGGGAAAGAAGCCAGTGGCAAGTAGGGCTCCTGGTAATGGCCGGTGCACACCATGACAGCGTCGAAGACGTGGGACTCACGGACACCATGGCTCTCGGTGACCACCTCCCACCGGCCTGAGGCGCTGAAATCCGGGCACTTCCTCACACTGAGAACTGTTGTCTTGCACAGAAGCCCAAGAGTACAGCAGTCAGGGATCATGGAGACGTGCCTGTGAAAGGCTGGGTCTCTGGGGAGCTGTGTGCCACTTCTGAAGCTGCTAAAGCCCACCCTAAATGCCCACCAGGCATTTCTCCTGGTGATGGCACTGGGGGGCAAGGCTGTGTTAAACCAGCCTTAGTTAAAACATGGGCTAAAGTCTGCATTCAGGACTCAAAAGGGCCTTGAGGGCTGGCACCCAGCCTGGTCCCATCCCACCTCCAATCTGCAGCTGCACATGGTTCTTCTCCCCATGGGTTTGAGGTCCCTGCTTGTCGGAACCCAGGACATTCCTCTGGCTGCCCTGGGTGATTCCAGACCCTGGCAAGGGGCTCAGAGACCTTGGCACAGAGTCACAAACACCTGTGCCTTTGATTTTAGCCCATGGAAACGATTACCAACTTTGTGTGAGGATTTACAAGGCACAAGGGTTTGAGTAGAATGATAGTGAATTTGTCACAGGGTGAAAAAGTAGAATTTTGGGGATTTAGAATGGGGGTTCAAGAGGCAAGATGGAGGAATCTGGGTGTGTCCTGTCCTTCTTCTTCTTCTTTCCCTCCATATTCTGCTGTGATGGTGACACTTCTGTATTGGTTTAAAGTAGAGACAGACTGTCTAACATAGGTGATAGGTATTGGAAAATTGTTGTAAATAAAGCACACGTAGTTCTTCGTATAAAAAGGTGACACCACCCCAAGGGCAGGCACTGTGCCACAACCCGACCTGCTGGACAGATCTCAGCAGGGCAGAGAAAGAATGGAACAGACAAGAGAAAATAAACAACCTTGAGAAGCAGAGCTGAGGAATCTCAACTTCTTCTTTGGTCATGGGGCTGGGAAAAAAAACTCTTTAACACCTTGGGAGCCATTGCAGCAACACAAAACCCGAGAGCTGCTCACCTGGAAGCGAATGTGCCGCAGCAGGTCAAAGTGCTGGGCGTACATCCTGAGGTATTCCAGGACCAGGCTGTGGGGCAGGTAGTTGGGAAAATCCTCGGGGAAGGGGAAGTCACTGAAGCAGGACATCTCCTTGGAGGTGTTGGTGATGACTGAGCGGTACACAGTGATCCTCCTGCTGTCTGTGGAGTCCTGTGTGAAGCCGGTGCTGATGTTTCCAGGTGTGCAGGGGAAGAATTTCTCCCCATCAACTATATAAGCATTTTCTTCCTCACATTTTGGTACAAGGAATAAGCCAGGACTAGCACTTGGAGACAATCATTACTGCTCCCTCTGTATGATTAAGCTCTTTTCTGACCCAGAGATGGGGCAACTGAGAGGCATTTTAAAACTTTTATTCTATTTTTAGTCTCACTTGAAGGGTGAGACAATACAGATGTTATAATTCACACCATCACAATCAGAAGCCAACTAATTCTTAATTACAGTACACTATAAGCGTTTCTTGGCCTATCAGTTTTTGCTACCCCATGCTGTAAATGCCTTAAAGCCAATTATCTAAAATTACCCCTCGTGTATCCTACTACAATGCATCTTTCATAGTTCTATTTCTCCAAAGTATTTAGTCTTATTGGCAAGGCTATCCTTTGAAACTTGTTTCTAGTTCCATTTCTCTCTCAACAATGTCTGTCCTATTCCAAGGCATTTCTAAGTCAGCATTTCTTATCTCAAGGTTTGCATACAGATGCACACTATGTGAACCTTCTGCCAGGTTTTGAGAATTCTCTACAAATCCATTTCCCACATTTCCTCCTCTCTCTTGAACAGAAAAAACTTCTTTGATGGTTTGGTTTATCATTTGCAAGTGAAGTACACAAGGCACAATCATTAACATTGTCACTACAACAATCAAGGCATATAAACCTATTTTGCAAAGCTCCTTTAGCCAAGGTGCAAAACTCCATCCATTTCCCACCCCCTCCATTTCCTTCCCATCTTGGAGTCAGGAGGAGCCCCATGAGTGGGACAGGGACAGTCCCTGAGGGCGAGGCCACCCTTGCCTCTTTGCTGCAGTCCCAGAGCATCCAAGGAAGGGGATGAGAGGAATAGTGGATTTGTCTTTACAAACAAGCTGTGGGTCTGCTGGTAGATAAAACCAGCACTTGGAGAGAAAAGAAACAATGGGAAGGATTCCACTGACTGATGAATGGAAAAAGAGATTTGATTTTACAAATAAACTTTAGGTTTGCTGATAAATTAAATTAGATACTGAAAGATGAAAGAAACAATGGGGAATAAAACCCCCTAAATTCCATAAGAATTAAAAATGAAAAGGGAAGGTTGTACATTAGAGGGGAATCTTTGCTATCAGGTGTTTTGGGAAGTCTGTACCTCTCAAGTACCTCAGAAATGGGGAAAGAGAGAAGGGAAATGCGGCTGGGAAATTGGGATAAAAAGGAGGCTGCGTCCTCCAAAAATCTGAGAGATCCCAGGGGAATGCCTCATGGCCTCTCCCTTTATTCAAATAAAATAAAAGGACTTCTCTGTCTCCTTTTTGGACATAAACCTCTGGTGTTTGTGGGTTAATTTTCCTGAGAGGGACAAGCCCGGGGCAGACGCGGGGGGCACTGACCGTGTAGCGCCAGACGCCGCCGATGTCCTCGCTGCTCTCGAAGCACGTGGGCTCCAGCCCCTCATCCTGGCAGCACTTGATAGAGGCCAAGCCCCCAGCCCCAGCCCCAATCACAGCCACACGCCGGACCATGGTGGCCTGCAGCAGGTGACAGGCTGGTGTGACAGCAGCTGCAAGCACAACAGCCCAGGGATCAGCAGAAACGCCATTTCCTTCTTCCCATCCCCACCAAAACACCCCTGGTCTTCTCTGCTGCAGGTGTCCATGAAGGAAAACTGTCCTGGGAGAACCCCACAGCCAGCTGCTGGTGCACAGATCCTGCTCATTACCCTCCCAAACCCACTCTGGGGGTCCAGCAATCTCCCTCCTCCATGGGATGAAAAAGGAGGCACTTTTAAACCTTGCTGTTCTGCTGCTTCAATTTATTCTCTTTTCCATGCATGCAAAGGAGTTGCAGCTATCTTCTTCTGCCTGATCATCCTGAAACCTTTGGGAGAAGCAACTCCAGCTAAGCTGGCTCATTTTCACGCTTTCCCTTTTAACTTCCCATTAAAGAGCAATCTCTTGAAAACAAAAAGGGTTTAAAAAGAGGGGGGAAAGCAAAGCAATGCCTGACTGAGCAGGAGCAGGGTGCAGCCATTCAGAAGTTAGACAGCTCTGTGAAAGCAAGGCTGGGATTACAGGGTATACAAATGGTAAGGAACCCGGGAAACGCTGGAGATAAATGGGAGGAACTCAAAGCTGGGCTGTGTAAACTGAGCTGCACCGAGCTTGAGTGGAAAGCAAGCTAGGAAAAAATGAACTCGCATGAACTTTGATTAGATAAAAAATACTGCTACTGCAGGGTCAGCAGAAAGAGTAATTTGTAACTTTTTCTACCGGTTTTGTGTCAAAAATTAAATTAACACAAACAGAACCTGGAGGAAACTGAAGAAAGAAAAATGAGGGAGGTGCAAAACAACCCCTTTGGCACCCACAAGCCTGGCCTGAGCCACTCCTTGATCTGCAGGAACAGGGCAGGACATGCCCACAGCTGCCTGCCTCGTTTCTGGAGCCTTCCTTGGCTTCAGGAAAGGGCAGGCAAGCTCAGGGTGCTCAAGCCACCCCCCTTTTCCAGCGCTGCCTGCAGATGGATTCGCTCCAGAGGGTCCCTGCAACACCCCTCTCCCCCCACCAGCAGCAAGGCAAAGCCAGCAGTGAATGCCAAAACCCTGGAGAGCTGTCTGCCCACTTGTAAACCCTACCAAGCCCACCCAAGAGGATTGAGGAGCAAACCTTGCAGGACAGCGCTGTGCCTTCGCCGCTCTGCCCTCTCCGGATTTCCCTTGAGTTCCTCTGGCCGTGGATTGGAAGGGAAGGCTGAAGTCCAGGCAAGCCTCAGCTTTTGCACCACTGACCTTTACACCTGCATTCCCCCCGCCCTCTGGGCTTAAATGCACTGGAAGAAAGTTCTCAGCCTCCCTGGGGCAGTGCCAGGTGAAAATTCAGAGATAATCCCAATGGGAACTTGCTGGCGAGGACTCCCACGCTGGAACTCGTCCCTGCTCCAGCCCAGGCAGCAGCGTGGGGCTGTGCTGATCCTTTTGTGGTGCCTCTGCTGGGCTCTTGTTCCCTTGGCATCCCCAGGAGATCAGCAGAACACGCTCCCTTGGCCAGCAGACAGCATGGATGTGGGACGTGGAGCACTGTGCATCTTCATTTTGGGCAGTCAGGGAGAGCCCTGAGAACCCCAGCCTTGTGAGCTGCCCACAGCAATTGGTGGCACAGCCCCACTCAGACACAGCTCTCCCCCCCACACACACAAGGAAAGCACAGGGAGGCGTCTGCAGCACGCTCCTGCCACAGCCACTGAGATTTTATTCATTTAAAGTCTCTCCACGCACAAAACAAAGCCTCAGGATTGTCCAGTGGTGGGGCACGCAGGGAAGCAAAGGCAGGAGTGCTCAGCCCCACAGGCTCCTGTGGGACAAACCTGGAATCTTTCCAAACAACTGGAAAGATGCACCAATTCAACCCCAGCTGGGATTTTGGGGTTACAGTGTTTAGGTTTGGAGAAGGGGACAGCCTGACTTGTGTACACAGCCCAGGTAGTTCCTGTGGTAGGTAATCACAGGAATATTTTCCCAGATAATTCTTGCTCCTGGGACACACCACCACTTTTGCTGGTCTTGTCCTCTCCGAGTCCTGTCTCATGTGATCCAGGCACAATTGTGGCATCAATCCCTGCTCTGCTTCTGGCAGCAGGCAGGGGAGCAGGGGGGCAAAATACACTTGGGCAAGGCTGCCATCCCTGGTTAATGAGGCCTGTAAAGCTGGGCTTGGGGTTAGGTTGGAACAAAGGGAGGTTTATGCTGCAGGTTGCAGATTAAAGTTTGTTGCCATCTACTGAAATCCTTTTCCCCAGTCCCGTGGGGCTGTCTGACCCGAGATAAAATCCCTCAGGACAAAAAAACCCCAAACAACCCAAACAAACACATTCTAAAATCTATAAGAAACCAAAAATCACAGCAGCCAGGAGCAGAAGGAATCCCACCACAGTCAGGAGGGACAGGAAGGAGCTGGAGGAGCCAGCAGGGACTCGTGTTCTGGTGGGCTTCAGGACGCGGTCCCACTGGGTGAGGATGGCGTGCCGTGCCCCCTGCCAGCGCCCAGGACCCTCCAGCCTGTACTGGTAGGGGGAGCAGGGCCCAAAGAAGATGGTGAGAGCCAGCCTTGGGTCTGTGCAGAGCAGCCCCAGCACGCTGGGCTTGGCACCAATGAAGGAGGCCAGGGTGTCCAGGTAGACCAGCCACTCGGTTTTGAGCACTTCGTCAAAGGTCAGGCCAAACCTGAATGATCAGAGAGGAGAAAGAGGCAGGAGGAAGGTTGGTGTCAGCAGGGCTTGGAGGAACTGGGGTGGGCATCCTCTGCATCCTTATTGCATCTGGAATGCAACTGGGTTCTCTGGGAAAGGACTGGATGTAGGTGCAGTGGGAACCTGGGACACAAATCCTGGCCCCCACGCTGCTCCTGTGAAGTGATGCTGGCTCCAGTCAATCTTTCTCTCCCTCACTCACAAGTTGCACCTGCTCCTCCCCTTCCCCTTGGTCAATCTTTGTTAGCAGACTTTGGTTAACAGTTTGGGTTATTTTTCAAAGCAAGCAAACAAAAACCCCCTCAAACCCAAATTCCTTTGCTTTTTGCAGAAAAGTCACGTGCAGCATGAGGAAGGTGGCACCCTTTAGTATCCCTCATGTTCATTTCCACCAAACATTGCAAGAATACAAAGTGGCTTGGAGAATTGATTCCAGTTCACCTTCTCTGCAGAATTCACAGCTTCGTGTCCCACCTTCAGAGGTCTGCAAAAGCTCATATCCACTCAGCCTTGTATTGTCGTGTATTCTGTATTCTGTACTTCGCCTTGTATTGTATTCTGTGCAATTCTGTACTTCACTCTCCTATACCTTTTCTCCTGTATCTATTTAAATGAGCCTTGGATTTATCTATCACCCAGTTTCCTGGGATTGGCTCATTCATTCCCTAATCCTTTTAAGCCTTTTGCCTGCCTGTGAACCACACACCAGTGTGCTCAGACACCTGTTCACAGTGAGTCAGGTCTCCATGCTGTGAGATGAGACAATCTGTGTGTACACCTCGCTGGTTATGGGTTGGTTTTTTCCCCCCGGCTGAATTACTTTGCATTTATTACCATTAATTTCTCTATTTTATCTCTCAGTCCCTGGGGATCCTGGTATTCTTCCCCAACTCCCATAGCCTTGAGTACCCTGAATTAATTTCTTGCTGTCACCAACAGGCAAAATATCAGTGTTAAATCAAAGGTTACATTGGCTCTTTGCAAGTGAGTAAAGGGGAAGCTGGATCCAGGAATCCTCCCCTCTCCTCTGCCATGGCTGCAGGGAACAGGCACAGAGTGAGAGCCCCAAAAACTCCAGAGGTTTTTCAATCCACCAAAATACCTTTGGGGCTCTGGGGAATGACTTACCATTGGATTTGGTTTTTCTTCTTCTCATTTACTTCTTTCTCCATGACAGCCTGGGGAGGCAACTGACACAAGCCTGGAAGAGAGAGGAGAGTGTTCTGCAGAGTTTAACTCCTGGGGGGGAACTGTGAACTCACTCAGTGATGCAAAATGTGGGAATCGCTTCCCTGGGAGGGCAGGAAACTCTCATTGCAGGCAGTTTATTTGGCAGTGCTGCAGTCCTGCCAAAAACCAGTATTCCAAATTCACCCACACCTCCTCCTGCTCTTACAGATGTGTCCTGTCAGGGCACAGGCAGGTGATGTGGGGGCAGATGGGCAAGCCCCAGAGAGAATCATCCCAAAGAGAAACCACAGAGCTTCTCATCTCTGTGGAGTAGTCCTGACCCAGCCCTCCACAAGGTTATTCTTACTATTTTTATTAACCCCCCTCCAAAAAACACCAGTGGGTTTCTTTCCTCACTCATGTTGCTGTAGCTTAGCTGAAGTGAAATGATTTGGGAAGTCTGAGCCTGGGAAATGCTCCCTTGTCCACTCTGAACTTCTTAGCTCTGGGATCTCCCTGGGTGAAGGGGAAAACCATTTCCAGTTTTGTCTGAACTGCATTTTGGGGCACAGGAGGGCTCACATTTGCTCCCCTACCTTTGAAGACACGGCTCACCCAGCGTGCCTGCATCTCTGCCACGGGCATGATGGCTCCCAAGGGCTTAATCAGCCCAAGGACAGCCAGGGTGGGCTTCTGCAGCTGGGGTGGGAACACGTATTTGTAGAGGGACGCGTGCTTGTTCTCCACCCTGATGATGGATTCTTCCAGGAAGGGGAAGGAGACGGTGTAGCCCGTGCAGAAGACAACGATGTCGATGGGCTCCTCCTCAGGGCAGTTGTGGAAAACCACTGAGTTGTCCTTGAACTCCTTCACACCTGGCTTGATGGTGATCCTGCCTGTCAGGATGTAGCTCGGCAGATCGTCGTTCAGCACGGGCTCCCGCACCAGCCAGCTGTGGAGAGCCAGGGCTCTGACAGTGGGGCCCCACAAACAAGCCTTGCTGCTCCCCTGCTCCTCCTCCCTCCAGCTCACACCTCCTGCTGTCATTTTCTCTGAGCAAACAGCCCTGCCTCCCACCTCCAAGCAATTGTCACCAATGTCACCCCTGTCCCACAGCGTGAGTGATTCACGGACATCTCCTGCCGCCTTATTCCCTCCACTCATTTACTCTTCAAACCATCTCTTTCCAGAACTGATCCATGCTTTAAGCCTCCCTTCTCCTCCTTACCTTACAGACCATCCTCTGGGCCTTCCTGGGCTTTTCCAGCATGCCCAATATTTCACCACTTAAGGGAGCTACAGCTTATTTTCTCCTCCCCGCTAGAGATCACCTCAATCTGGGCATTGGTTGATGCTGCTTGCTGAACATCTCCCCCTGCCCACACCACAAGCCCTTCAGCATGGGATGGGGACCACCAAGAGGTACCTGTTCTCTGGCTGAAGGCCATAGTTTGCATGGTTGAACCACTGGTTCACCTTATAATTAAGCAACCACCATGAAAGGGGTCCGGGGAGGTTGGTTTTGATCAGGCTCATCAGGCGAGTGTTTAAAATCATATCCCAAGGGTAGCCGTGCTGAAACACACGGCTGAGCAGCCAGGCTCCTCGAGTGGTGCTAATCATCACCTGCAAGAGAAGAACCAATGCTTCAGGTGATGAATTTGCTGCTTTTCCTTTATAAAGAAACTCACAGGGGCACAGCACGGACAGCTGTGCAATGGAAAAGCAGCAACAGCATCTTTAATTTCTTCTGGCTGCTGGTGATGGAGGTGAAACAGGAGACAACAACAAAACCAGCTTGCTTTCAAGGTAGCTTTTTGACCAAAAAATTCAGGCTTAGAAAGACTGTTTGTGATGACAGCACACTGAGCTATTGTCCCCTGTTACTGTGATATTTTATGAAAAATCCCTTCACTAGGATTTCTTCTCCTGGGAAGCTGGGAAGCTTCAGGTTCTCCATGTTTTGCTGCTCTGGAATGTGATTTGGAGAATTGTTTACCCAACATGAATTGTTTTTAATTAATGACCAATCACAGCCAGCTGTGTTGGACTCTCTGAGTCTGTCATGAATTTTTATTATTCATTCTTTTCTAGCCTTCTGATGTATCCTTTCTCTTTCTTTAGTATAGTTTGTCGCAGACATCTTTTATGAAAAATCCTTTCCTTAGGATTTTTCCTCCTGAGAAGCTGGGAGGCCTCAGGAACAAAATGTAAACATTGATTATCTGCTGCTGTGGAATGCAACAGGTGCATCTGTGATTGGTCTCATGTGGTTGTTTGTAATTAATGGCCAATCACAGCCCAGCTGGCTCGGACAGAGATCCGAGCCACAAACCTTTGTTATCATTCTTTCTTTGTTATTCTATTCTTAGCTAGCCTTCTGATGAAACCTTTTGTTCTATTCTTTTAGTATAGTTTTAATGTAATATATATCATAGTAATATATATCATAAAATAATAAATGAAGCCTTCTGAAACATGGAGTCAGATCCTCGTCTCTTCCCTCATCCAAGAACCCTGTGAATACGGTCCCAGATGGCACGGTCACAATAGTTTTAGTGTATAATTTTCAAATAACAATATAATATAATATAACATAATATAATATAATATAATATAATATAATATAATATAATATAATATAATATATAATAATAAATCAGCCTTCTGAGAACTTGGAGTCGATTCTCATCTCCCACCGCATCCTGAAGCCCACAATGACACCCCAACAATTAATAACCACAGTCCCCATGTCCCTGTCCCCAGAGGCCTGGAGTGGCATGGTGGTGGCACCTTTGCAGCGACCCAGCTGGCCTCCACGGCGATGTCCACTCCCGAGTTGCCCATGCCCACCACGAGGACACGCTTGCCCTGGAACACGTCAGGATGCTTGTACTGCCTGCTGTGGAAGTACTGCCCTCGGAACCTCTCGATGCCTCGGGGGAAAAAGAAACAGAGCTCTGAAGCACTGAAGCATTTGTGGATTTTGTTGGGAGAACTGGTGTTAAAAAGCAATCCAGATGGCAGGAGCAAGGATGTGCAATCTCTGGCCACCAGAGTCTCAGAGGTCCAGCCCATCCCATGCACACAGAATTAATTGATGCTTCCTCTCCAAAATGGGGTCTCAGAGACAAAGCTGCTGTCTCTGAGACAGTATTACTGTTGATGCCAGCAGGTTTGGAAAGCAGAAGCAAGAAAAGAAAGGGAGGATTTTCCCCAAATAACCCCTAAATCTTCCCTCCCCAGCCCCTGAAGCAGGTAACAACATTTCCTTGTATACCATACCAGGAAAACACTGCAGGGGGAGGGATGGCTCCGAGAAATTGCCGCTGCAAACCATAACAGCATCAAAGATGTGTGATGTCTGCTTCCCCCCTGCCTCCGTGACCACATTCCACTGGCCCGTGGTGGCAAAGTCAGGGTGCTTCCGGATGCTGACAACGGTGCTCTGAAACGTGGGAGTGAAGAAAAGTCACTGTCACCATCATATTTTCTGGGAAAATCCTTTTGCCAGGATTTTTTTCTCCTGGGAAGCTGGGAAGCCTCAGAGAAAAAAGGAAACCAATATTATCCGATTGCTTCTCTTATGTTTTGCTGCTTTGGAATGTGGTTGGAGATTGTTTATCCAACAGGTGATTGTTGCATTGGTTTCACGTGAATTGTTTTAACTTAATGACCAATCAGGGTCAGGCTGTGTCAGACTCTGGAAGGGGTCATGAATTTTCATTATCATTCTTTGTAGCCCTCTGGCTGTATCCTTTCTCCATTCTTTGGCATAGTTTAGTATAGCATTCATTAATATGATAGAATAAAAATATAATATCATAAAATATAATAAAGTAATATAATACGATATTATAAAATGTAATAAAATACAAAAATTATAATAATAATATAATAAAATAGAAACAATATAATAAAATATTATAAAAGTATGATATGATATGATGTGATATGATATGATGTGATATGATATGATATGATATGATATGATATGATATGATATAATATAATATAATATAATATAATATAACATAATATAATATATCAGCCTTCTAAGAACATGGAGTCAGGTTCATCAATTCCTCCTCCAATGGGGAATCCCAAAAATACCACAAGTGCCCACGGGCACCCAGAGAGGGTGGGGAGCAGGGCAGGGCACCCATCACTCACCCCAAATCTGATGTGCTCCCGCAGGCCGAAGTGCTCGGTGTAGCGCCGGAGGTAGTCCAGGAGCAGGGCATTGGGCAGGAACACGGGGAAGTGCTCGGGGAAGGGGAAGTCAGAGAAGGCAGACATCTCCTTGGAGGTGTTGCTGATCACTGATGGGTACAGGCTGGGCCGGCCGGCCTCGATGTGCTCCTGCCAGGGCGCATCAGCCCCGTGACCAGGCTGGGGACTGTCCCCCTGCTGCCCTGGCCTCAGGGGTGCAGCTCAGCACTCAGCAAACCCTCACAGCCCTCACAGCCACCCCATAACCCTGCAAAGCTGCAGCTGCCGGGGAGGTGAGGATGGGCTTAGCAGCTGGTCTGCAGGCCAAACAACTGAGCTAACAGAAGAAGAGATGTCACTGTCATATTTTGTGAAAAATCCCCTTTCCCAGAATTTCTTCTCCTGGGAAGATGAGAAGCCTCAGAAACAAATGAAAAATGAAAACAATAATTATCTGATTGCTTCTCCTGTGTTTGGCTGCTTTGGAATGTGCTCTGGACATTGTTTACCAACAGGACCATCTTTGATTGGTTCCATGTGAATTGTTTTTACTTAATGACCAATCACGGCCAGCTGTGTCAGACTCCGAGGAGTCAGTCACAAATTTTTAATACTCATTCTTGTTAAGCCTTCTGTCTGTATCCTTCTCTTTCTATAGTAAAATTCTAGTGTAGTATAATGTAGTATAATGTAATATAATATAATATAATATAATGTATTATAATATAATATAATATAATATAATATAATATAATATGATATGATATAATATAATACAATGTAATATAATGTAATGTAATATAATATAATGTAATGTAATATAATATAATGTAATGTAATATAATATAATATAATCATGCTTTGTACCAATAAAATACAGTTATATTTTATAAAATAAAGTTATCACTTTGTCCAATGAATAAAACGAGCTGGTTTGATGTAACTAATGACTTTAAGGGTATAAAACTTGAGAACAACTTGCAATAAAGAAGAAGCCATTGCTGTTACTGCAGAAATGTGTGTGTGTGTGGTGTGTCCCCACCTCTCAGTGGCAGGGAGGAGGACATGTCCCCTGGCTCACCGTGTAGCGCCAGACCCCTCCGATGTCCTGGCTCTGCTCGAAGCAGGTGGGCTCCAGCCCCTCGTCCAGGCAGCACTTGGTGGCTGCCAGCCCGCTGACCCCCGCGCCCACCACGGCCACTCTCATCCCTGCGGGCTCTGCTGGGCTCCCAGGAGCTGGAAAAAACCCCACAGATTGTGAAAATTGCATGTATTTTATGATTACCTTGTCGCAAATATTAAAATTAATATTATATGTGTTGTGTTAGAAAGTCATGCTGTACTAATTCTCTTCAGCAGCGTGTTAAATATTGGTTTAGGTTATAAAAATTGTTAAAATAGAAACGATGCTATGTAGGATACTTTTTTTAAAGAAAGGGCTTGCAATGAGATAGCAGCCACAGGACACCTGAATCTTTCAGAGAAAGAGAATTTATTGCTCCATTATCAGGAGAAATTAACTTCTTCCTGCCTTGAAGACACCGTCAGGATTCAGAGGAAGAAGTTGACACTGCCCAGACAGAATCCTGTGCTTGAATGGAATTTATGCATCATGTATGAAGTGTATGAATATGCAACAGGCTGTTGTTTTTAAGGGTTAATCCTCTGTTAACGTGGGTCCTTTTTCGAGTTCGTGCTGCCCAGTAAAAGGTACCCGGACATCTGTAACTCTTTGTGTTTATTGTCTCATATTGTCCTAATTCAAATTGTCCAAATTATTGTTACTCTAATTGTATTACTATTTTTAATAACCATTTTATTACTATTACATTTAAAAAATTTTAAAAGCAAGTGATTGGCCTTTTTCACAAGATGGTCATCACACTCTCGGGGGGCAGCTCCTGGCATGCCTTCCATAGGGAACTTCTCTATCTGCTTTTTCCCAATTTCTCTTTCCCCAAATGCCATTCCATTTCCCAGCTTTCTGGGCTCTTTGTTTACAAGTTATATTAAATGCCTCAAATAATAATTTTATATTATTCCCCCTTTATTTTAAAAAATCTCCCCACTTTTACAGTGTGCTCCCTGGGCTGCTCCCAAACTCCATTCCATTTCCCAGCACACTTTGTTTACAAGTTAGATTAAAGGTCTTAAGTAATAATTTTCTCTTTTTCTGTCCTTTATTTCAAAAAACCTCTCCACTTTTACAGCGTGCTTCCTGGTCTGCTTCCAAACCCCTGCAGCTGCCCTGGAAAACTGGCTTTCAAAGAATGTAGTTGAGCCACAATTCGCTGCCAGTTTGTATTTACAAGCTGGGTTTAAACTATCCTCCCTTATCAGACTAGCAAATATTTGTATTTTATCTTTGGATATCTGCCCCTGCCTCTCACAGAATTAAAAAAAAAAAAAAAAGCACTGGAATTGAAAATGCACTTTATTTTATCTTTGGATATCTGCCCCTGCCTCTCTCAGAAGACAAAAATAAGAAATGCACTGGAGCTGTTCAGTTTGTGCCTCTCTGGCAGGGTCCTGTCCCTGGTGGCTGGCTTTGACATGGCCACTGGGGCTGACAGAGGGGCTGCAGGTGTGGCACACCTTGGGTTGAGGATGATTTTGTGTCTCTTGTAGGGCTTGAAAGGCAACAGCCCCTGGGTTGGCATCCAGCCCTGCAAAACTCCCAGTGGGGATGGTGGATCCTAATCCCTGGCAGTGTCAGGGAATAAAACAAGGGATGAAGGCCAGGTTCTGTGGCTTGGGCTGGACAATTCCAGAGGCAGGACCCCCGCCCAGGTGTCCTGGGGGTGCTGCTGCCATCTGTGGTGTGACCCCAGGGCTGGAGGGAGCCTCTGCTCAGGTGAGTGATTCACTCAGCATGGCAGGATGTCACTGGGGTAGCCTGAGAAGGGCTTTCAGCTCCCACCACACACAGAGGGTGGTGTAATCATCAGGAAAAAGGAAAAAAAAAACCCCAGTCTTCAGTAAAAAAAATGGGGTTGGACACAGTATTTTCTAAAACCCACCAAATTCTCCAGAATTATTTCAACTTTCAGTCATAAAGCAACACCCAATGAATACTCTGCTTTGCCAGGCTGGAATAAAACCTGGACTTTTCCCTTTGTAAATCAACAAAGCACTAGCAAGAGCTGCTCACTGTTAACTGTTTTGGGGGAGCTTTTTTTTTTCTTTTTTTTTTGCATGGTGGGAACTAACTTATATCACAAACACCTCCCAGCTACATTTATTTGATTCCCTGCCTTCTCGAGGAGAAGCTACAAACAACACCAAAAAATACCAATCCTGCCACACTTTCCACACTAACCCTGCAAGCAGCCAGACTCAGAAGCGCCCAGGTGTGGCACAGGGAGGGAAGGAAAGGCTTCTCACCCCTGTGGAACACTTACCTCCAGCCCCAGGCAGCTCAGTGTCACCTCTGCTGTGGGAAGGGAGGGTCCCTCTCGCTGGGATTTATAGCCAGACGTGGAGCTGGGCAGGGACAGGAGGGCAGGCACTGCCAGGGAATTACACAACTGCTGGGGGAGGCGTGGCTGCAGTGTCCTGCTGTCCCTGCACAGCCCAGATGTGGCTCCCTGAAGGGAGTGGGGTGATCCAGCTGTACTCCAGGGGCACACATGGGTGAGGGGGCAGCTCCAGCTGGGACACGTTTTCACTTGCCCCATGTTTTCATTTGCCAAATGTGTTCATTTGCCAAAAAGGGGCTGAAGGTGCAGACAAACAGGATAATATATAATATGATATGATATGATATGATAGGATAGGATATGATATGATATGATATAATATAATATAATATAATATATAATATAATATAATATAATATAATATAATTAATATATCAGGGCTGAAATGTCAGTGCAGGACATAGAGCCCATCCAGGTGTCTCCCAGGAGTAAGTGATCATGGAAATTATAAGAGAGGCTTTGGATAGTCAGATATTGGATATTTTTAAGGGTGGCTGGGGAGAAAGTATGAAATCGCTGCAAATGAATGCAGCTGGGCATGGGGAAGGCAGAAGCCATGGAGATGGAGGACTGGGTCTTTAGGAAAAGCAGTGTTTAGAAAAAGACAAAGGATTTGTGTCATTTGTGTTTGATTTGCTGAGGGATATGTTTACCAAAAACTGGACCCTTCCCTGGATGCACAGGACCTTGCTCCTGCAAAGATGCTCACCAGCACTCAGCAGAAAAGAGTCAGGAATCCACTAAGGCAAATACTCTGTTCTTTATGTGCTTCTGCTTTTCTTGAATTCCTCAGCAGGGGTTCAAGTGACTTGCATCTAGAGGGATGCCATGGCAGCACTCCAGGAATGGTGTTAGTGCTTTCAGGAGGGCAGCTCAGGGAAGCTTTCTGAAGGAACAAGTTGTTTTTGGCAAGGAGGAGCTGCTGGTGCAGAAATGGGACCAGGTGCCTTTGCTGCAGCTGCTGCCAGCAGGGAGTGATACCATGTGAGTTTAGGGTAGAAATACCTCCGAAACCTCAATCATCTGCCTTAGGGCTGTGGTGTTCCCCTCCACAAATATCCCAGGCCAGGGTCTGGGCCAGGTGTGCAGAACGTCTCAGAGGAGATGGAGATGAGATAGCAGAGAGCAATTACTGCAATTATGCACACACATGCCCAGGGCACTGCAAAGGCCTTGTCAGAAAGCAGAGAGACATTCTTGCTCCTTTCCTCACCTCTGCTGGGCATGGCAGCCCTGGCACAGCTCAGGAGGAGCCAGGAGCAGTGAATATCCAGAGGTGGCTGAGGATGAGATCCAGGAATGGGAAATTCATGTGCCTGAACCAGGAATGGGATCCTCATGTGCCGGTCCACTGGTGAACCCCTTGAGAAGCAAAGCTGCCCAGCACTGTGGCACAAACCTGAAACAGCCTTTTTAATCCTTAAAGCAGGAGGAAGGAGAAACTAAATATATCCATTCAGTCTGAATCAGATGGGAAATTCACCTTCTCTGAGAAACTCACCTTCTTTGGGAAACTCTGGCCCCAGTTTTACAATTTCTGTTTAAAATAACACTTCAGGCCAAGGAGGGGCAAATCTCTGCACAAACAAGTCTCAGCACAACCCACTTTGCTGTTTTCTAGGTTTGTTTCAGCAGCTTCTGGGCATGTGCCATGCTGAAGGGGGAACAGAAAAAGGAAAACAAAAGTGGAGTTTCTTGTTATGCTGGTCTCAGAGCAAGGCAGCTGCTCAGCACCTGGTGGGATGGGAGCTCTGGGCTCGTCACTGAAGAACTTCACTGTCCCCTCTCCAAAGCTCTCACTGCCCCCTCACTGTCCTTTAGAGGCTTTAATTGACATTATTGCCCCAAAGCTGCCTCCCCTGCTTGCTGCAGAGCTGCAGCACAAGGCCATGCACAGAGAGAGGGAAGAAGCTGCTGCTGGAAAAATGAAAAATGTATTTCCCCCCCACTTCTTGGAGCCTGGATTTTGATCTTTAAAAAAATTTAAAAAAAAAAAAAGAAAAAAAAAGAGCTTTTCCTTCACTTCCAAGGCCAAAAGGCATTTTCCTGCCCCAAACCAAAGAAAACCCCTCCCCAAGCAGGCTGTTGTCCTGTTTACTATTCCCAGCACACAGAGGACAATTCCAGTGACAAACTCTTCTGTTTCTGCTTAAACTAAGCTGGATAGGTTCAATATCTTGAACTCTCTCTGAAACCTCTCAGAAGATACCACTTTTAAGGAGATCCAAAGGATGCACTGGAGCAGACATGGGCTGTAGAGTGGCTTTGGGAGAGGGATTTACTTGTTGAGCATGGAGGTTTCTGAAGGGTTTTACTCCAACATCCATGGCAAAATTTAACCTGATTTAATAAGTCACCATGTTTTCCAGGCATGTAACCTGTGGAATTTCTAAAGAAAAGGCTGCTTGTGTTAATAGATCCTGCAGTGCTGCAGGTTTTAACTTCTTCGGAGTTTTCCAAATGTACATTTTACATCTTCCCAACCTCCATGGACATTTACACCCTCCCTTTAGCACCACCAGGACTCAGAGTGGATAAACCACAGGCAATAAACCATAGCTGCTGGAGGGATGGCACAGCAAACAGGACTTTTGGTAACTCCTGAGCAGAATAATCCTAAGAGGAGCTGTCTGGGGAGCACAAAGTTAAGGCAGCACAGCCTGAGCAGGAGGTGCCACCACCACCAGCAGCTGAAGGCATCCATCAGCCTTTGAGTGCTTTCAAAAAT